CGATGCGGGACTCGATCCCAGGACCCTGAGATCATGACCCGAGCCGAAGGCAGACACCTAACCATCTGAGCCACCCAGGCGCCCCTAAAGTTCTGTAATTTTAAACAGTACTTCATCTTAGCCATTTTATAAAAACTTGAAGTGTAAAACCAAACCTTGCTACACTGCAGTGTAATGATATAGTTAGTTTTATGTGAATTTTTTATACTGGAAGACCTTAGTGTAATTAGCACAACACGAGAAAATCCTAAGCTGTCCATTAATACTATTAGACGCTCAAAGAAGTATAGGTTATAGTAAGACTGGAGGGAATGTGGAAGAATGCATATAGTCATTGTTCACTTGCCATAAGAGGAATTATGAATTTAGTTGTCCCAACACAAGTTCAACATACAAGAATACAAATTTCTATGAAAATTAAATTTGATATTATTTGAAGTGCTTTATTCAATTTTAATTTTAAAATTAAAATCAGTATCACAGAAATACATCTACCGTTTGAAATGAGTCTCCTTTTTAATTTAAAATTTTATCTTAGCTGCACCCAAAGCTGCACCACCTTTACTTAATGTTCCTCTCATGTACTTAACATTGCAATTTCTGCCCCCTTATTTTTTCCCTTAGAATATCTTACTTCTTTCTTAGATTTCCCTCTTAGAAGAATAAAAAGAAAGTTTATACATAATATAACGTATATAGTGAACGGTTTATTATTGATTGCAACAGCAATATGAGAATTAACGGTACTATTTTATCCCAATACCAAATGATTAACTCTTAACTAAGTCACTTTTCTAGTCTATAAAGGTGCAAAAATGTTTTTCTTTCAGTTATTTTAGCTTTGGGAGTGTGTGTGTGTAAAAATGGGTTGGGCACCTTGGTGGCTCAGTCGTTAAGCCTCTGCCTTCAGCTCAGGTCATATTTCCAGGGTCCTGGAATCGAGTCCTGCATTGGGCTCCCTGCTCAGCAGGGAGTCTGCTTCTCCCTTTGCCCCTCCCCCTGCTTGTGTGCACTCTCTCTCTCTCTCTCAAAAAAGAAAAAAAAATGGGCAAAGGACTTAAATAGACATTTCTCTAAAGAAAACATACAAATGACCAGTAGGTATATGAAAAGATACCCAACATCATGAATCATCAAGGAAATGCAAATAAAAACCACAATGAAATATCACCACCTCACATCTATTTGTCAGGGTGGCAATAATAATAATAATAATAATAATAACAACAACAATAATAAAAGGGTAACATGTATTGACAAGGATGTGGAGAAACTAAAACCCTTATGCACTGTTTTGGGGAATGTAAAAATGATGCAAGCACTATAGAAAACAGTATGAAGATTTTCCCCAAAATTACAAATAGAACTAGTATATGATCCAGCAATTCCACTTCTGGGAATTTATTCAAAAGAACTGAAATCAAAATCTCAAGAAAATATCTGCACTCCCATGTTTTTTGCAGCACTGTTCACAATAACCAAGACACAGAAACAACCTAAATTCCCAGTGACAAATGAAGGGATGGAATATTACTCAGCCTTAAAAAAGAAGGAAATTCTGCCATATTCAACATGGATGAACCTGGAGGACCTTATGATAAATAAAATAAGCCAGCCACAGAAGGACAAATATTGCATGATTCCACTTACATGAGGTGTCTATAATAGTCAAACTTATAGAAAAGAGAATAAAATGGTGATTGCCAGGGTTTGGAAGAAGAGGGAAATGGGGAATTCCTGTTCAATAGGTATAAAGTTTCAGTTATACAAAATGAGTAAGTTCTAGAGAGCTGCTGTACAGCATCATGCCTATAGTTAATAATACTGTATTGTGCATTCAAAAATGTAAGAGGGTAGATATATTAAGTGCTCTTACCACAATAAATTAAAAAAAAATAGATCATAGCAGGGTTTAGAGCTAGCTGCAGGTGTTCAGAGTCTGACCTCACAGTTATAGTCCACTTTTTTAAAGACCTTCAAGATCTGTTTTTAGGGGAAAGTGAATAAATTTTAAAGGCCCAGAAAGAATGAAAATGTGAACATGGAGCTATGGACTTATATGAAATAAAAGATGTTCTATAAAAGATATCCCAAAGTCTACTTTCTAAATTTCATCCTTTCTACATTTCCTGCTTTATTTCCATATGCTGCAAATTGCATATGGTTTAGTTTGCCCCACCCTTTCAAATTTCCATTTTCTCCTAACAGTTACACCTGCATTTATCACAAATATATGTGAAATTTTGATGATGGTGTTGGTTAACTGCCTAAATGTTGTGACCTGGTGGGGAGAGGAGGGTCCTGAAGGTCTGCTTTACAGATTTAATTTCATCTAGGACCTGTCCTTTGGAGACTCAGAGAGAAGCTCCAGCAAATAGTTGTGTTCTGGAGGTTAGAAAGGTCAGATAAAAAGTTAGGGCACAGCAAAAGTTCAGTACTTCTTGATGACAAGCATGTAAGCTGTTGGAATTAAATTTTTCTTCTAACCTCGAGGAGTTTTATGAATTGCTAGAGGGTAGAAATCAACATTATCATTCTCCTTTTTACTTCAAACTATTACTATTTATTGCCTGTTCACCATATGCCAGGCATCCTTCTGAGTGTGTTTCATATGAAATAGTTCATTTAATCCTTTCAACAACCTTATGGAGAAGGTAACGGATTACTCCCATTTCAAAGATGAGTAAACTGAGGACCAAGAGGGAAAGTAATTTTCTAGAGCCCCACACGTGGTAAGAGCCTGAGTTAAGTAGAGTGATTCTGGCACCAAAGTTTTTTTACATACCCTGAAAGGACATCCTAGAGACTTGATGTGTAGACCTGTCTCCTCAGTTCTTCATGGTTGGCTAATTAGCTGTAACTTCCTGAGGTCAAAATGAAGGTGACTTTGAAATCAGTCCTTCCTCCAGATATCAGGCATTTAGCAGTCCCTCACCATTTCTTCCTGGTTAGAGATAGATATAGGAAGGTCAATCTTGTAGAATCCATTCTGCCTAGTTAGTGAATGGTCACTCTACAGCAAACTTCAAGATTCAGGTATTTTTGGTATAACTAAAACTATATAAATCCCAAATGTGACTTCAGGGAAAAAAAAGATTTGCTAGAGACAAACTGAATCATCTACTATAAAATCTGCTGCTAGCTTGATTTCTTGTGAAGTTAAATATAATCAACCAATTACAGATTTCGTATGTAGATAAAGGCATAGTTTTGACTGCAGTGCTTCTCTCTAATGTTGTAGAGGGTTTCCTAGCCATACACAGCTAAGTCAATTTTAAGATTCGATTTTCTTCTTCATTCTACCTCTTTGCCCTCCGTACTTCTGTCTGCATTTATGTGTTTCTGCCATTTTCCTACATGTGCACATGTTCAGTAGTGTTAGAAAGAAATGATTCCAGGGGTTCTTATGTCAACTGTCTGCCTCTCTACACATTAAGATGGCTTTTTTCTTATTCTTTAAAAAGCCCTTAGGATACAATAGCTCCACCACTTCTTAGCACTGTGACTTCGGCCACATTACAACCTCTCTGTGCCTCAGGTCCCTCAAGTATTAAATAGATTTAAATTGTACTCACTTAATACAAAAAAGGACTTGGCACAGTGCCTGATACAAAGTAAACACTAAATACATGTTAGCTATTATTATTATTACTATTATTATTATTAACTTGTGGAGGAACTCACTTCTTCCCAAAGTATTACCAAGGTATCATTTAGGAAACAAAACCCACATTTAAAGACTTTAAGGGTTAGTATGGAGGATCTGAGATATTTTAAAATTTAAGACCCTTTTTTAATAAGAGCTAACATGTATTGATTACTTATTACATGCCAGGTATTGGGTTATGCCATGTGTTTGTATGTATATATATATGACATACACACACGTGTATATATATAGTCACTTAATCTTTGCTGTAACTCTACAAATCACTAAAATTACTTCAGAGAAATTAAGCAACTTGCCTAAACCTCCTGTTTAGTAAGACTTGAGCCTAGGTTTGATTCCTGGTCCATCAAATACGTATTCTTATGTGCTTAAGTTAGCAAAGCAATAATGCCTCTTACACTTTAATGGCTATCATTTTCCAGAGTTTTTCCATGAGCCACGGCCATTTAAATGATAAGTTGCTCACTGTGGCATGTGTCATGATGATTAAAATACATTATTTCAGGGGCGCTTGGGTGGCTCAATCGGTTAAGCCTCCAACTCTTGATATCAGCTCAGGTCTTGATCTCAGGGTTGTTAGTTTAAGCCCTGAGTTGGGCTCCACACTGAGTGTGGAGCCTACTTAAAAAAATAAAAAAATAAATAAATAAGTTATTTTTGTGGTTCCAGCATTCTGGACTTAACGGATCAGTACATTTTTCCAAAATTGGAGACTTAAAACAAAATTGTGTTATTCAATTTTATAGGGGAAATCACTGTATCACCATTGATTTTTTTCCTTTTGCTAAGAATTAATATAAACATCAATCACATTATCAGATAAATTATACACTTAGAATTTGGGATTCCTGATTCCTTGGCCAAATTTTTTATAGCATTTTAAAAAATTCAGATACACTTCACATAACATAAAATTTATCATTTTGAAACGTACGCTTCAGTAGTTTTTAGTATATTCACTCTGTTTTGCAACCATCATCACTACCTAATTCCAGAATATTTTTATCATCCCACAAACCCCATACCTATTAGCAGTTAGTCCCAGTTCCCCCGCTTCCTCATCTCCTGGCAGCCATTAATTTTTCTGTCTCTATGGATATGTCCTTAGGCAAATCTTTTTATTTCTGCACAAAATGGCTGTCTCAGATCTGTGATTTCTTATTCCTTGCTGCCTAAATCAAACTGCCTGCCCAAAGCTTTACGTTGGTGTGTTGTTCCCAGTGGCATATGTAATATATATGATAGACGGCATCAAAGTACAAAATTCTAAGAGGTCCCATCAAGGTTAGCAAATGCTGCCATACGTATGGATTTTAATATGAAGAAATATACTACATACTTTCTACATTTCCACTGTCCACATTTACTTACAGTTTTAGTTTACTTCTAATTTTAATTCCAATTTTAGATTTTCCTCATCTTTTCTTTTTCTTTTGGTATTTATTCATATAGCATGTCAAATTATGTAACTTTGAACTTAATCTGAAGGCTGCTAATGTTTTTGGTAACCACTACAAATCAAAATAGTATTATAAGGGCCATCTTATTTTTTTTTTTTTAATTTACATCTAATTGAGGTTCCCAAATTCTGGTCCAAATCTGTGCTATATTTAGTTGCTCTATTCTCTGTACATCCATACACTCTGTTCATTTCTCAGATAATTTCCTTTTAAAATAGAAATTCAAATGTATTACTATGTTCCACTGTGATTTACTTATTTACATGTCTCCCAGTGGAATCTGAACCCCTGGAAGGTAAGGACTTTGTCTATCCAAGTTTGATTTCCAGTACGGTGCCTGGTGCGTGGTATGAACTAACATAACTACTGCTGTTGAATGAAGGAATAGGTTTTAAATATATACACAAGCATATGCATAAAAATTTATAACACCCAATTGTATGTTATATTACATAGTATCCATGTATATTATTACACACGCATATAAGTTCATAGCTACATTAAAAATATTTAATATTTGAAAAATTCAAATGATATATTTGATCATAAAATGTTAAATATATCGAGTTTTACATAGTATGATTTTATAATAACCTGTGAACTAGTTATTACACACACAAAAACACACTCTATTTAACAGGGTATTCCCCACAGCGTAATTACAAGATGGAGGAACAACGAAGAGTGTGGAGACTGGAGATTGACTGACTTTGGCTATTTCTTTCTGAACCTGAATTTTTCTGTGACGTGGAGATAGTTATTACCATGCTTAGGGAATTGGTTTAAGGATAGGGCTAATTTATATTAAGGGTTCAACACTTTAGCAGGCCCTTCAGGAATCTTAGCGGGCACTTTATCCCTCAGACTTTAAGTAAAGGTGTTTAATTTTTCTACATATTATGAGTCTTTTCCAGTAAGGGAAACCTACCCGGATGCCAAATTTGTCAATTCAGAGAGTCCAGATAAAACTAAAAGCACAAAATGATCCATCTCTAACTCTGACGGATTGCTAAACCCGCAGGAAGCGCTGGGTGGACCTCCACTATCCCAGCATTCCTCGCGCTGCTTCCGTTGCTCTTCTACCGCGTCTCTATGGTAGAGCCGGCCTCCGAGGCGGCAGCGGCGTTGGTGGCTTCGGTGAGGAAAAGTGAGAGTTCTAACTTTCCTTTTGGCCTGAGAGGTTTCTGGCGCGGAGCGTCGTCATGTCAGAAAAAAAGCAGCCGGTAGATTTGGGTCTCTTGGAGGAGGACGACGAGTTCGAGGAGTTCCCTGCCGAAGGTAACCGGCTGGGCCCCGGCCTCTGGGCCGCGCGGACGGTGACTCAGCCTTCGGCTGGAGTCGGCGCGGATGCTTGGGCTCGGCCTCGAGGCGCCCGCGGGAAGTCCGGACCCCTGCGGCCGGCTCTCGAGGCTCTGCACGCGCGACCCTCCATGCGACCGGCTTCGGGTTCGGAGTGTTTCGGTGGGCCTCACTAGTGAGGCTGAATGCCTTCTGCTTCCTTATTGGGAGGAGCCACGGTGACCTGGGCCTCTAGCTCTGAGTCCGGGATGGTTGGTCCTTTTTTTTTTTTTTTTTAACTCTTCAGCCGAGTTACCCGCCATTTCGTTCATGGCTATATAAACCTCTTTTTTCTTTATTTTCTTGTAGTGTAGCAGCCTTCCTTTGTCCTTAAACCATCCAGAATTAAATTGCTGTACCTGCTTAGGCCAATATTGCTTACCTTTAGGACTTTACAAATGAAGCCTCTTAAGTAGGATGGGAGGATCACGTGTTGGTGGGTAAAAAGACGTTATTACCCTATGCTTGTTTCTCATTTTTGATCACTTCAAACTAACAAAGTTTAAGGATTTATAAGATGATAAACGTCTACATTTTTATTAGTTTTCATGGTTACCAAGAGGAACTTTAGTTTTCTCATTGTAAGTGAAAGCAAATAGCTAACATTTACTGGGTAATTACTTGTCTAAGTGTTTTGCTTATATTCATTTTCACAGTTCTAGCGACTAGGTACCGGTATTACCGTTTCTCAGATAAAGAAATTGAAGTTTGGAACTATTAAGAAACTTGTCCAGTGTCACATAGCTGGCTAGAAATGATGGATACCTTCTAGGAATGATGTACTGCTTCTGTTTATTTTTTAAATTGTTGTTGCCAGGTAGGTTTCCAGAATTATTTGCTTTATTGTCTGTTATGTGTAGGATAAATATTTGTCTTGTAAGAAAAGGCTGCTATTGGGTAGCCTTTCTGAAGGTGGTAGGAAGAGAATTGTGGTTAATGGTGTACAAATCTGTTACGTTAAGCAATTACAACTTCACTAAAATTGTCCTAAGTTGTACCCCATCGTGACCCTATTGTGCATAAAAACCACATAGCTTGAACATTTGTTCTTTTTATTTATGGTGTACTCTATTATTTTGTTTAGCGGTAGAAGACATTAGTGTTCATATGACACAAACTCATAAACTAACCCAAAGCACATTTCAGTTATGGGATTCATTATATATTGAGGGGATTGTTTTTGTTTTTGTTTTGGTAGTGGATTTATTTGTCCAGACATGTTTTCTCTTTTTTTTTAGTAAGATTTTATTTATTTATTTGAGACTAGCGGGGGCAGGGGAGAGACAGAGGGAGAGGGAGAAGCAGGCTCCCTGCTAAACAGGGGGGGTGGGGGGGCTGGATCCCAGCACCCGGGGATCATGACCTGAGCTGAAGGCAGACCCTTAACTGACTGAGCCACCCAGGCTTCTTTCCTTTACCTCACTGTCAAGTTGGTTCATAATCTAACATTGAGCTATACAGTAGAGAACTGACTTATTGAGGGCAGGATCAACTTTTTACTCAAACTTCATATTTCAAATAGCTTTTATCCATTGTTTATCACAGTGGTAGGCACTTTGTTTACATTATATAGTCTATCACTACAACTGGTGAGGAAGCCGATGCTTAGATTTAAAAAGCTTGTCATTAAGTAGTCAAGCCAGGATCTGAAAGGTCTGTGTGACTCCCCAACATAAGCTTTATTTTTAACCTTTAGCAAAGTGCCTGGCACATAGTAGGTGGTTAATATATGCTTGTTGAATGAATAAACCTGCATTTAAAGCAAGTAGTTGAGAATTGACTGCTTAGAAAGTTCTAGAGATAACTGTGTACCTAATGATACACATGATTTTTCTCAGCAACTTTGAGTTCATCAGTTTTTGCGGAATATGTAGTTTGTTTTTATTCTAAGTTTATGTTGTAAGTTTATATTTGTTCAAAGTGTTGGTAGTCATATAGTAAAAAATCTCATTAAAGTTACAAGGAAATGCAGAGAGTATTTTTTAGGGGGGGAGGGGCTGAGGGAGAGAGAATCTTAAGCAGGCTCCATGGTCAGCATGGAGCCTGATGCAGGGGTTATCTCACAACCCTGAGATCATGACCTGAACCGAAATCAAGAGTCGGTCAATTAACCAATTGAGCCATCCAGGTGCCCTGAGAATTTTTTTTTTTTTTTTTGAAGACCAAGGCCTCTCATGATCAGCCAGTTTGTTAAAATTAAGTAACTCACCACTTAACTGGTCACCTTATAGAATATTTGTTGTCTTCAGGTTTGGATGTGTAGAACCTAATTCATTTAGGAATTTTTCCTTTAGAATGAGAAAGAACATTGAAATGTTCAGGTTTCTCTGTTTCTTCTGTGGTTTATAATTTAGACAGGTTTTCCTTTTGTGTTAATTTGAATTGAGATTTTGCTGGGTACAAAATTAGCCCAATAGGTGAAACCAATCAATATTTACTAATAAAAACTCTTATAAAAAACAAAACTAAAAGAGAAAAAACCTGGAAAAATATCACCAAGGAATTACTGAATTATTTATCTTTTGAAACTATACACTTTTAGTTTGTTTATTTGTTTTTTATGGCCTAGTCATGGTTTAGTCTCCATTGCTGTTCAGTTGTGATCCATGGACCAGCAGTTTTGGCATTAACTGGCAGCTTATTAGAAATGCAGTGTCTCAGCCTAGACCTACTGAATTAGTCTGGACGTTACTAAGATTCTTTAAAGATTTGTATGCACATTACAGTTGGAGAATAAATGGCCTATTTTGAATTTTTTAGTATTTGAATTTTCAGTTCAGTGATTATGCCCTGAATTACTTTCCAAGTTCTCTGCCTTCTTTGGAAATTCTCTTTCTTGTGTTTGTCCTTTTGGTAAATGTGCCATTGACAAGCACAGTAACAGATAAAACTTAAAATGGCCTATAATCATCTTTTCTGTCTAGGGGAGATCTGATTTTCACGGGCCTTGTTGCCTCTCTGCTCCAGAAAGTGGATGTAATGGATTGTCCATCTTTTTTGGGAGTGTTGTTGCTTCATCTTATCCCAGATAAGAACTTGTTTGGTAGGATGTCATTCAGTCATTTTAAAGAAGGGGAATTTCTGTTTTAAAAAGGAAACTATGGTAATGTGTTTTCATGGAGCCTCTTTGTTTCTTCTGAATAGTTCTTCAGTGGTGGTGGGGCACAATTCTCTGAAGGTCCAGAGGAACAAATGCTTCTTTTTTTTAAAACTTGTCGTTATTTAGTCTGTGGATCTGTGTTACATTGGCAGTTCTTCACAGTTACTCTAACTGATGGGTATATGATCTGGTCATTAAGAACTGTTTAAAAATCATGTTTAGGGGACACCTGGGTGGCTCAGACGGTTAAGCCTCTGCCTTCGGCTCAGGTCATGATCCCAGGGTCCTGGGATCGAGCCCCACATCGGGCTCCCTGCTCTGCAGGAAGCCTGCTTCTCCCTCTCCCACTCCCCCTGTTTGTGTTACCTCTCTCGCTGTGTCTCTCTCTGTCAAATAAATAAATAAAATCTTTTTAAAAAAATCATGTTTAGGATCTTTGTGAAATGCATTCTGCAACTTTTTGACTATTTAAACTGAGAATAGGCTTTGTTAGGAGGACATTCAACATACGGGGTGTAATTGATTATAATTTTGGAGGCTTTGTCATGGTTAGAACTGGAAAGCAACTTAAAATCTAGAGAAGATAAAACTTGTCAAGCTCATATAGCTAGGTTGGTAGTAGTAGAGCAGGGTCTAAAACCGAATCCTTTATAATTTGTTTAAAATGTCAAAATATTTTTCATCAGATATTGAAAGGATATTTAAAATATTTTCATTAATCACCTTTCTCTGACAATTAGAAGTGGGTGAGAAAAGAAAAGTGGGAAGAACAAGTGGGCCTTTAGGTTCTTTTATTCTCTTCTTTCTGTGCCAGAACTGAGAAGGGTTTTTGTTTTGTTTGTTTTTGGGGTTTTTTTTTCGGGGGGGGAACTTTTTAGAATATTTAAAAGGAAACTCAGTTTGCTTCCAGAAGTAATGATATTTACAAGAGAATTCTAATACTAAGTATTCTATAATTTTTCTATGATCAGTGGAACTGCTTTATTATCTGATGAATTCAAGAGGAGTATACTACCTACCTTCCCACCCTCCTTGAGAAATTGCTGGGTAAGAGACTGTTATTGATGGAAATCTGTCTGTTGAGGCAGACAGTAAACAAGCTAGTGGTCCCCTCTGGAATAACTGAGGTACTCTCACCTAACAAAGTAGGGCATCTTACAGTGGTTCTTATCCAGAGAAGTATTTTTGGATGTCACATTTACTTGACAGGTGCAAATGTGAGGTAATGACATTTAGGGGTAGAGGCCAAGGATTTTAAATGCTTGTTGTGCATAGACCAGTACGGTACAAGAAGAATTGCCATGAAAAATGCCATGGAGAAATATTTACATTGATTGGATTCCAACTGGACTAAACCATCAATAGGATTCCTGAGAATCTTAAATATAAAAGTAGATACAACTGATATTCACTGTGTCAGATAATGTACTAGTCAGTTAACTAATGCCCAGAGGGGCTCTGCTATTTTCAATTATTAAATGTAATATAGTGGACACATAAATAACACTATCACACATTTAAATTAGTTACATGGTGGTGGCAAGAAATGGAGAAATTGTGTTACTAAAAATAAAAAAAATAATATGTATGGCAGAGTGCCTGTTGAGTGTCCATTCATGGTAATCATATGCAAGAAGAAAGTTTTTGAACCCTGGGATGGAAAAAGTACAATGAATCTTAAGATCAGACCTAGGTTCAGAATCCATCTCTCTTCAACTTGTAGATTGTCAATTAATGTTAGTTATTTAATTTCTTTAAAATGCTTTTTTAGTATTACATATGTGATAATTGTACAAAAAACTGCTTAGAGAAAAACTTACGCCTATAAAAGGGCATAAAGTAAAAAGTAAAAGCACTGTTTCTCCCTGCCTGTCCCCCAAAACATTTGCCATACTCCAGGGATAGCCACTGTTAATTGTTTTTTTTTAGTATACTTCCAGAATTTATGTATATATTGTGTGTTTATATCTATTTTAAAAATACAGAGGACCATATACTATTTTTCATTCTAGAGCAGTTCTTAGTTTGTCTTTGACTTTCATGATTTTGACACTATTGAAGCTTACAGGCCAGTTATTTTGTAGGATGTTCCTCAACTTGGAT